AAAAGTCGGCGATGGTCTCGACGGCCCCGTCGACGTCGACGGCGGTGTAGTAGTCCTGGATCCACTGTTTGATGGTGGCATCATTGAAGGATTCGGGGTAGGATGGTTGATGCATGGCGCGGTCCTACGTTGGCGAGCAGGGGGGTTTGAGTCTAGTCTGGTGAACAAGTGAAGCTATCCGTGAGGAGTTCGGCTGCTGGAGCTCCGAGACGAACGAGTGAGGGGTATCAACTGGGCCATGTGCATCGGCGTCAAGGACTCTTAAGGTACTACCTTATGGCTGCCTGAGTGCCATTCCTGGTTTAGCGGATGCTTGTTCTGTCTCACCGAGAAAGGGAAAAGCAGAGCGAGATGCGCAGTTGGAGCAATGTGATAGATCGTGCAGTGGTCCACGTTAGCGCCTGCCTTTCCCGATCGAGCATCGTTGGCGGCGCTTGCGTTAGGTAGTCGCTGCATACATGCAACATCAAGATCAAATCGGCAATTGGGAGCGATGGGATCTAGATGGTGGTTGAGATGTCTCATCGAGTAGATGAGGCTAGATGATGCTAGCTAGTGGCAAGATACACTGGAGCAGGAAGGTCAGCAATTGCACATCTAGCCCGTCGCTTACCGACAGCCAGCGCCCGGGCTTGTTGTTCAGCCGCCACAATTGCTAGTCAAGATTGGCTGCAGCAGTCCCAATGACTGTCAATATCACATCGACGGCAAATTGCAAATACGTTCAAGTGTCGGGACCGGCGAGAACACACTTCGCTTGAAGATAAGCGCCGCCTCCAGCATCAATAGTCCTCCCGTCCTCAAAAGTGGCGCATGAATGTGCCGCCAGAGCCCAGCCTCGTTGCTTATCACAATGTAACCACAAACCACAAACATTATCTCATCACTCCACGCTCGTCCACACTGATACTACAAAGCAGCCCCTGTCACCTTATCAGCATCTGATCGACAGTTCATCATGGGTTCATGACCGTGTGGACCCGTCCATCATTCTCCGGGTGGAGCGATCGGCAACGATCAGCAAGATGTTCGTCCTGTGCCACTATATCGCGATTGATGTACAGGACCAGTGTAGCTACCTGCATACAACATCAAGTAAACCAGAGGAATCCAGGATCGAACATCCCCAAGAGCTCAACTCAGCTCAAGCGGAGGCGCCCGCCTCCTAAGCCAGGCCACAAACCACCACCCACCACCGAACGCCACCGCAATAGTCCCGCCGTGTAGGTAGATAACGATAACGTCCTCATTCAGAAACCTCGAAGCCAGAAAAAGCCGCCGCAGTAAGAATAGACCGCAACACACACCACAACCAACCCGCAAGGTCCCCAATCCCCCTCTTACCAACTCAAATACCGTTACCATCGTAAGTATTGACTTCTGCCATTGTTCTGCAGCGGCCCAAATCGTCCCACCCACCGTAACACGAGCGACATTCGAAACACAACCAATCTATGCAGGAATCTTGTTCCGAGACCCCCCCAGACGTTCCGAGTAACAATACGAGCTAGACTCTTTGTCTTAAGGGGGCTTTGTCTGTCCCCCGGGAGCAAGTGGGTTTGCAACTGCACGGGGAGGGAGGGAGGGCTGTGTTACCTGAACCACATGCCTGGGCAAACACATGATTTTTCTTCGTTGCTTTTTTGACGTCCAGGCCAATCGGTTGGTTTCTATCTTTATCTAAGACCCATTTCCTTCCTCTTCCTCACCTACTGATACTTTCAGGCATTGGTACACAAAGAACTGTATTAAGTATGGGTATGGTATATTACTATCAAGTCATGTATGTACGGGTAACTCAGGTAAGCATCATCGACAACAGTCCGGGCAGGCCCAACAAAAAAGGAGTAAGTATAAGCGACAGGCGAACAGAACCACAACCAGCACCAAAAAAAAAAAAATAAACAAGAAGAAAAAGAACCAAGACGCAAACCTAAGCATTCCAAGTGACAGCTCCCAACCCCACCAATCGCGGGCCGTGGCACGGATTCCCCTGTGACTATCGATGCCACCGGAAACTTTCATGGCCCTTGCATTTCCGAGCAACGGTCGAATTCTCCACAGCCCTAATCTAACTTCAGCTGTGCCGAGCTGTTCCAAGCTCAGCTCAGCTCGCTGGGGGTATTCTGTATTCTTCGGTAGGGGAAAAAAAAATCAAGAACAACAGCGCGTGCATCAGGATTCGATGGCAGTCCCGCTCAACCTGCCCTCCGCCTGGAGATGATGCCACAGATCGCGACAGGCATCCTGCAACGAGCGCTCCGCCTTCCAGCCCAACTCCACGGCGGCGCGGTCGGCGATGGCGACGCACGATTCCACATCGCCGGGGCGGCGGTCGGCCGTCCGTCGCGGGATGGCCTGGTGGCTGATGTGCTCCATGGTGGCGACGACCTCGGCGACCGAGTGCCCGCAGCCGGTGCCCAGGTTGAAGGTGCGGAAGGGCTCGACGACGCGGCCCTCGTGCGCGGCCGCCAGCGCGGCGATGTGGCCGCGCGCCACGTCCGAGACGTGGATGAAGTCGCGGATCGCCGTGCCGTCCGGGGTCGTCCAGTCGTCGCCGTAGATCGACAGCTCCGGCAGCTCCCCCGTCAGCACCTTCACCACCACCGGCACCAGGTTCGACGGCGTGCCCCGCGGGTCCTCGGCCAGCAGGCCCGACGCATCGCACCCGACCGGGTTGAAGTAGCGCAGCCCGATGATCGTCCACGACGGGTCCGACGCGGCCAGGTCCGACAGGATCGCCTCGCCGAAGAACTTGGTGCGCCCGTACGGGTTGGTGATCCCCGTGCAGCCTTGCTCGACGGCGACGAGCTCCTGTCCGTCCGCCGCGTAGTAGGCCTCCGGCCGGTGCACGCAGTGCTCCTCGCGGAGGGTGCGGTGGGTCGCCGAGAGGGTGCCGTAGACGTTGGCCGAGGAGGAGAAGATGAAGGTCTTGATGTCGTGCTCGTCCAGCAGGGCTACAAAGTCCACCAGCCCGCTGATGTTGTTCTGGTAGTACTTCAGGGGGTTGCGCAGGCTGTCGTGCACCTCCTTGTACGCCGCGAAGTGGATCACGCCCGTGATGTTGGAGCACGCGGGGATCCGGCTGGCAGCGTCGCCCTCCTCGTTCGTGCTGCTGCTGCTGCTGCTGCTGCTGCCACTCGCGTGCGTGGCCAGGAGGGTTCGCATCGCTTGCGAGTCGCGGTAGTCCATACACGCCAGTTCCGCCTGCGGACATTGGCGGTCCCGGCCCTCACGCTCGTAGTGCTGTTTGGCCGCTCGCACGATCCGGTCGTATACTTCCTTGTAGCTGTTGCTGAGATTGTCCACCAGCAGCACATTGTAGCCCGCCTTGAGCAGCTCCAGCGCCGTGTGGCTGCCGATGTAGCCCAGTCCCCCCGTGACGAGAATGTATTGCGCGGTGGCCGCACTGACGGCCGGCAGCGCAGCTAGGGCCAGGTCGAAACAATCCTCATCGCGCTCCGTCTCCGGCGTGGATGGGGCGGAGAACAATGGAGTGGGCAGAGGGGAGCTGCCCTCGGACGGGGGGCAGGAGGAAGAGACAGTCATCGCAGCGAACGAGAATAAACGAGAGGAATTACGGAGGAGAATGGGCGATGGGCACCTACATAGAGAGAGACCGGGCGGGAAACAGAGGGTACCTGTAGTAGTAAAGACGACGCTTCCATCCTCCCTCCATCCCCTTACGGAATTCGGGAGGCAAGCGATGGGGATGCATTCAGCCCAGCGCCAGCATGATTTCATCGCCGAGTCATTGAGTCGAAAAAAAAAGAAAAAGGTGTAAAAGAAAAAAAAAAATGAGAAAGAAAAAAAGATGACCTAGCGGAGCAGTCCAGCGAGAGTCCGGCTCGGGTCTAGTAGCAGCAAGATCGCAATAGTATGGGAATCAGCGTGGGTTCCTGGTGAAAGTCCGTACACTAAACTCCTACAACCAATACCACTACTAAGTACAGGGCAGGGCAAGGCAGGGTGTGGATGTTCAGTCTTGGAGAAGAAAGAGGGAGGGGAAAGTGGAGGGGTCCCGGAGACATCCACCCAGGGAACTTTTACGGTACCTGAATAGATTTCCTGTTTTGCATTCTCGTTTACTCCGTAAGGGTCATCGTGGGTAATTCGATCCCTTCCATTGAATCAATGGAATTTCCTGGCCATGGCCAAAAATAGGGCATTGGCGCCGAGTCTCACCCTCTGAGCAATGGACGAGGCAAATCCCGCAGCGGCTGATTCCATGTCGTAAGTAGCTGCTAGGTTGTATTCGGTAGGGTTCTCGTCCGAAAAATGATGGCATTGCAGCTTGCATTCGCATATCAAGTGTCTTTAACCTGTGCTAGCGTGGCCTCCATTCTTCCTCAGAAAGAGTCGAAGTGGTTCCTTGCCCCCCAGTCGGTACCATTGGGAGAAGTCGGAGACCAGAAGAGGGGAGAGGAAGAAGGGCCCAGACTGTAAAGAGGGCTCCACCAGGATGAGAAAGCTGACTAGAGAGACTAAAATGTGACCGCAAAGAAACATGACCAACGCAGTAAGACAAAGGCGAGGACAGAGAGTCAAGGGAGCACCTTAGGCATGACTGTACTCCCTGCTATACTAAAGATTCTAGGCCAACGTCCGCCCCAAATGTCTCACTGGTGCAGCGACAACGCATCGCTATGATCAGTACGGAGTATATTCCTGCACTTCCATCAGGCAACATGGCGTGCTTCCATGGATGTGGCGAAGAGATACATCGCTGTCCATCGTCATTACAGAGGACTTGGTTTTTGCCAGATGGACCGTCTCTCTGACGGGTCGGATCAATGAGCCAAATTGATACATCCCGAAAGGGCTCCATCCGGCTCCACCAACGCTAAAGCTTGGACATCCAAGCTACGACATTTTGAGCGAAGCGAGTACCATATGGTTGAGGGAAAATACTGGGAATGGCGGCGACTCATGCGCCATGGCTGGGAAATGCTGGGTCCCGCTGGGGTTTTTTTCTATTTTTCTTTTTTTTTTTTTTCTCTCCCGGATCTCCACTGGTTCATGTTTCAACTTTCTTCCTAGTAACTACCTAACTACATAGCTAATTTACTGGTCGGACTCGACCAACCGCAGGGCGTCCATCATCATTCCCCAGCTCTGAGGTCCAAAGCGCTCGTAAAAATCACCTGCAATCTCGGTGACGAAGATGTAGGCAGCACGATGGCGCAATTCTTGGACCAGGGGACGCACCTCGTCGCGCGGCACCTCACTAATCATGTAGCCGCATTGGACCCGAGGATAGTCAAACTGCGCATAATAGCGCTGCACCTCGTCGGAGCGATAGCGAGGATAGGGCTCTTCGCAGACAAGGATGAGATCCGGGCTCGGGTCGGCCAACTTAGGGTCAGGCGGCGTGCCCGGGTTGTGGACAACCTGTCCGTATGAAAGGATGGTAAGAAATTGGCTCGGGAAACAACTAAGACTTATTCGTCTGGTTTCACTGATAAGACAAATGACAGTCCGTGATAAAGGACCGTGCCAATGCCACACGGGATGATAGTGTAGTGTAGTGTAGTGTAGTGTAGTGTAGGTGGTGAAGTGTAAGAGTACGGAAGTAGTTACTGTGTTTGTACCCGATTGTACGGTATCATGGATCATGGATCCGTGGTGTACATACAGGCAAACAAACGAGTACAGTACGGAGGGGACGGCGGATAATGCAGTGAGATGAGATGCTTACCAATCGATCCCGAAGAATGCCCTCCACGGATTTGACATACTCGTGCAGTTTTTGTAGATACTCGGCTCGCTCGGCAGTATGATGGTTGGGAGTCTCGTCGACCATAATGCCCCCTAGCCCTAGTCCTGGGCGCTCGTCGGTCGCCCAGTGCGCATAGCGATCGATTTCCGCCAAGGTCTCGGGCAAAGGCTTTCGGCAATAGTCGATACGGATGTAACCGATCAGGTAAACATTCGGATGGCTGTTCAGACGGGCCACTTCGCGTGCATAATTCGGATCGGGAGAAGGTATGTCCCCGGGGCCACTGTTGGGGTTGATGATCACCAGAAATTCCACATCGGGATGGGTCTCAATCCTAGTGATGATCGATGGTTAAGTTAGAGAGTGGGTAAATCATCCAAAGAACACTCAACCTTGGCGGAGAAAATGAACTCCAGTCCCGATGATGCAGGAACCAAGAGAACAGCGAAAATACAACCAAGGAAAAGCTAATCCATTGGGATGGGGCCGCGGTGCTTAGGCGAAGGGTGCCATCAAAGCCAAAAAATTGAGAAAAAAAAAGAATCAAGGGCAAAAAAAAAAAGGAAAGGAAAACGGAGAACTTTACGCGTCAAAAAGTGGATCCCAGTCATTAGGCAATGGATAGATATACAAAGGTACCAGCACGCTAGCTTTGGGAAGGGGCGTGGATGACATGGTTGGCAGAGAGCGTAAGAGCGGGAGAGAAGACAGTGCAGGATAAGGTGCAGGTACAGGAACAGAGGAGTAATCAGAAATGGCGGGAATGGGGGGGGGGGGGGGGGGGGGGGGGGGAGATGATGCCGTGATAAACCAGGTTTATTTGTCAGTGTTCCTGGTTCAGCTTCTTATAACTAGGACGATTATTAAACTTCCAGGGAACGCGATTACGAGAAAGGAAGGAGAGACAGACTGCCGCCAGTGAGGTACAGTACGGAGTAGGAGATTAGGAAAATAGGAAATTAGGAGGATTTTTTAAGTCATTCAAGGATGGGAGACAGAGAGACAACGTGGTTGAGGAAAAGAGAACCTTGGGAGGCTTGTGAAAAGCTTTCAGCCTACCTGTCAGCCAAGACTCGGCACTCAACTCCCAGGCAGCCACCAGAAAAACCATGACGATGACAAGACATGAGAATGAGATTATTAGTGAGTAGACTAAAACATTGAAGAGGACCGTGCTAGTGCGCCTCTAGTGCGCCTCTAGTGCGCTGTTAGTCCTCATTTCCGTCGATTCCGTTGATTCCGTTCCTGTCGTGCCTTGGGCCAGAACCTGCCAACCCACCACCTATCTACTGTGTACTGCCCCATTAACAACTTCAACTGACCAATTCAAATGCATCCAAGCTTTTCTACCCCTCTGTCCACCATATCTCTCACCAATCATTAGTGACGACGCTTCCCGTCTCATCATCTTCCCAAGGCTGTGGTGGGGCTCGCCTCTAGGCTAGGGCCGCCGGCCTACTCGTGGGTCGATCGACGCAATTCGCTCTCTCACAGACTCACATTCTCTCACACACACGCTGCTCAGTGCGTGATTGCTTGGATCTATCGATTAACTCGGCATCAGGTCGATAATCGTGGGCCCCGCTGGGTCAAAACTCTCGTAGTAATCTTCCGTCAACGTCGTCAGGAACAAGTACTCAGCTTTCAGACTCAATTGGTCCACCAGGCTCCGCAGAGTACTGTTCCCCATCTCGGGGACTGAATGCAGCATGTAGCTGTACCCGGTACGGTCGGACGCCAGCGCATTGAGCTTGCCTTTCTGGGTGTGGTAATCATCGTACGAGCTCTCAAATACCACAGTGACGTCGGTTGTGTTGGAGTGATAGCGACTATCCGGAATGGTGCCGGGATTGTGGATAATCTGAGAAAAACCCAGGGTGTGGGACGTTAGCCGCTGGATCTGTCCCAGAGAAAAAAAAGAAAATTGGAAAAAATAGAAACCAAAATCTTGGTTCCATCGATCCCCAAACCCCTCACCCCCCGTGCCTGGATTTCTTCTTCTTACCATTCGTTCCCCTTGCAGCCCCGTGGAATTCTTCACCACCGCGTTGATGGTGTTCATATACTCGACCTTGTCCGCCGAGTAAACGTAGGGCGCTTCATCAAAGAAGATCCCATCCATAGCTAATTCAGCCGACTGGTTCGCCCACCCCGCATAGGTTGATACATCGGCTAACACCGAGGAGATGTTGCGGGTCGCGTATCCAGTGCGCACATATCCCACCCGGCGAACGTTCGCGTAGCTCGCGAGGCGTTCGACCTCGGTGCTATACGCTTCATCCGGATACGTGGTGTTTCCCGGTCCACTTGATGGATTGATGATCACCGTGAAATTTAGATCGGGGCGTTCAGTGATTCTGGGGCGGAGGGTCAATGAGGGTCTAGGGTCTAGAAGAGAGGGAAGAAAAAAGAAAGCAGCAGACAGGCCACAACTCACTCCTTATACAAGGGACTCCAGGTGCTGCTGTTGGTAGGGTAGATGTACAAAGGGTACAGCACGTTGGTCTGCTTTGCGTGATGCTTCTTCCGGGTCAAAATGACGGCACATGGCACCACAATGACCACGATCACCACTACGGCCACCGCAATGGCAATGGCAATGCACCAGGGCCGCCGCGGGCGATTAAGATTTGGGCGAGGCATCCATGCACCAGCTAGCCAGAACCGTGGGGAAAACGAAACGGAAGTACGGAGTAGTTTTTCAGGGAGCAGAAAGGAGATTGGATTGGCTTCAGGGTTCGTAGGTGTAGTTTTCTTGGGGTGGGAGAGATGGCAGGCACACTGCGCAGGTTATAATAACGGTGGAATCCAAATCCAGACCCGTTCGTGAGAGGGCTAGCCTAGGTTCCGACCTCAGAATGGCGGAAGAAATTTCTTTGTAGACGAGAATGCGATGGTGCTCGGCGTGACCTGTGCGGCGCTGGCGGCCATGGCATCCAAACATTCGACTGAGACATCCCATCGCCATCGCTCGATCGCAGTGGCTAGTATTCTTAGGTTCAACGACGTGACACCGGCACGCAAAAAGGATGATAAGAGACCCGTAATTTCTGGTCGAGTCAGACATGCAGTCCACCTATTGCTAGCGTTCTTTTGGGGCCACTACTAGTTAGCCTGGCGCTGGAGGAGATTTGTTGGCAGCACGTCCTGGGAGTGGGAGAGAAAATAACTGGGTCTCCCGAACCAGATGGAGTAAATTGGATCACTCTCCAAAATAATAATAATAATTATCATTTAAACAGGGAACCAGAAAAAAAAAAAGAAAAGAAAAGAAAAGAAAAACAGACCCTAAAAATGAAAATAAGATCCAGACAATATTACAGTACACTACAGCTTACATTCATTCATTCAAACAAGCCAGCCTTTAGATCCTTCTTGTTGCGGGCACGCCGCCGCCATAGATAGATAGCCATGTACCTGCTATAAATAGGGTAAATTAAAAGTATTAGAGAGGCTGACACTCCTCCCCTGGTACCTCGCGAGTGGGATACGTGGGCTGTAGTCGTTACATTCGTTTTAATCGGCCTCCATCTAGAGTCGCCGCAGATAATAGTCCACGGTGCCCCCCTTGTGGTGAGGAAAGGGTTTATGTTAGGCACTTGACGCTGTTCCTATCACCATGGCAGGTCCCGAGTACCTGGGCCTCGATGCCGTAGGATGGAATCGCATGACATCGACCTGGTGGGATAAGGTGCGTGGTTGCTCAGATGGTCGCGACGAGCCCTTGAATCTCTTCCCTAACGTTGTTTGCGCAGGTCCTAGCATTCTGCTTACTAGCCACGGTCGTTCTTGGTTCACTCTTTATTCTGGGTTACATTGTGTTAAAGCTCCATGGGATTTGGCAGGTATGTGGTTCTTCGCAATCTTCTGACACACTGATTCCGGGCCACCCTGCTCATCTTTCCTTAGAAACGTCATCAACTCTCCGAGGTCCCAAGTGCCATTGTACGCTACTTCGATCAGCTGAAGACTGGAAAGTCTTCTTCACCCTTGTCCGAGAAATCGGCCAAACGCGACCTCAAATCTTTCGGTGTGTTCCTGGGGGATTTCTCGAACCCACCTACTCCAGCGGAGGCACAACTACTTTCGCAATGGGATGTTCTTGTCGTCGACCCCCTTCAACCGGGAGTCGCGAATGCTCTCACCGGCCACTGCACCTCTCCACATGTTCTCGGCCGGCTCGAAGTACAAAGCCTGGTGCAATCGGATGCGAGTCGCAGCAATGACGAAGTTATCCAAGCTCTGACCACGGTGGTGCAGACCCTGACAACGAAATTCCAGCGCCAACCGGGAGGATCAACTGCTCCTTTCCACGGAGTGCTCCTAGCCGAGTTCCACGCCCACTTCCAGCCCGTCGTTCTGAACGAGCTCATCAAGTATATCAATGACCTGGGACTAGACGTCTGGCTCGAGCTGGCCCCGCCAGATTATCTTGGGGAGAAGCAATGCCGCGAGATCAACATGCAGCAGGTGCGGGGAATTGTCTATCGCAACGGAACCATCCTACCGGATGGAGACCGACGCAACTACTTCCAGATGGCGGAGATGCGGGCTGCGATGCGTGTGGTGGCGGCGCAAAAGGCTCGGGGAGATTCGACTCTAGCGATGTGGGACAGTGTCGATGATGGAGTGACAGTGTCGCACCATGTCATGGGGCGCACGTTCAAATGGTGCAACTACAACAGTGCAATGATCTACATCGGACCTCGGGCAGGATTGACCAACGCGGAGATTGCCGTGGCTGAAACGGTTCTGCATGAACCTCTCGGGGCGATGATGTGGCTGAAGCGCGGCGAGGTGCTCGAAGCACATGACGTGTGGCGCAACAACAACCGAATCTCCATCTCCCCAACATCATCAACATCAACATCTCCTCTCTTCGACGCCCTCGATTCCTTCATTCCCGATCTCAACACCAAACTGTCTCTGCACCCCCCCTCAACCACCAGTCTTGCTCTTCCAAGTCCTGGTTTGTCCGTCAAGGGTCTTGAATGCAGGGTTGCCGACGAAAATCCTCACATCGATCCTCTGTCGTTTTCCCCCGATGGCGCCACCTACTCTGAACTCGGATGTTTTCATCTCGGCTTGGACTGTACTTCACAAAACATCACCGATGTTCTCGAAACCCAGCGCCATCTGCGAGACTTGGACCTGCTCGAACGCCTCAAGCCGGATCAGCTTCGGGGATTCGCCGCTTCAATCCGCACTCTCCAGAACGCACAGGATACCTATCCCGACCTCTCCGATGCCATCGCCGCCACTCAAGAGCTTGTTGACCTCCTGAGTGTCAGCAAAGGTGATGACAATGACCGCCTCCGAGTCTACGTTGGGCTGCACTCTGGCTTCCGCACGCGTCTGGGCACTCAAGTCTGGGGTTTGCTCGATCTCGATCCCCACATTGGTATGCTGAACCTTTACGTCAACGGCAAGACGCTGGACCGCACTGGAACCATTTTGCACGCCTATCTCTCCGGTCGCGGGTTCAGCCGCACCCAGTGTCTGATCATGGAAATGGTCTTGGCCGCTGAGAACCAGTCTCTGTCCAAGGAATGGAATATGCCTCAACGGTGGGTCGAAGACATCGAACAGCTCACCCCCGCTGAAAATCTTGCTTGGCATCGGCGCTTGGCCGCATCTGAGGGCAGTGGCTCTTCCATGCTCTGCGCGAAGCTGCGGGCCTGTAGTGAGTACCAGCTCGTGGACGCGCCTTCTCACGCCCAGCGCCGAGCCTTGACCTCCAGCGCGTACCTCGATGAGGAGATTTCCGCTGCAGAACTCGTCGCCTCTCGGTTGGCATGGTACCAGGAACAAGGATGCTGGTCTTTGGATCCCGAGGTCGCCACGGCACTGTTCCTGGAGATCGATGCTCGGTTGCCTGAAGTCTTGGTTGACAACGAGGCGGAGATCCTAGCAAGGCTTCAGGATGTGGCGCAGACCACTCTCCAGAAAGGTCAGATTGATGCGAGTGCGGACTTCTTCGCCCTTTGTATCTTCTGCGCCTTCCGTCGCCTGGCATTGAATGAGATCTACTTGGAAGTTCTGGACCGGAATCCCCTGCCGAATCAGGATGCAGTACAGGCCTCGTGTTTCACCGAGATGTATGCCTGTGGTGCGCGCACTGACATGTACTTCGACACGACTCCTAAGCGACTGGGAAAGATTATCTGGAAATGGTACCGGGCATATTATCACAAGTACCAACCACCCCAACGGGAGGAAGGCTTCACGGAGCTTCCCACAGCATACGCTTCCATGAATGTCGATCTCGATCCTAAAGGCGACCGAAATAATATTCCCTGGCATTATAGGTTCACCTTCTTGGGTATTTTTGCCGTTCCCGCGCTTATTGATGTCACAATGCTCACCACTGTCGGCCGTGGTCTTTACCTTACCACGTACATGAGCGACGTGGACAAGACGCTGGCCACCACCGCCCTAATGTGCGCCCTGCTTGTCTGTGGTGGCTTCGGCAGTTGGATCAGCTCTGGCGGTAGCTACTATCTCTACGCGATGGCCTTCCCTGCCATGAGCATGTTCGTCTTGACCCGGTTCGTTGCTGGTCTTGCGGTCGCTCTGGTTGGAGGCATCATCGCACTTATCGTTGTCGGTGTGGTCAAGGGAGGTGCAGCTGGAATTCTGTTCTTCCTATACTTCGTGATGCTTTCAACGTATCTTATGACTCTTTCCGCCCTCTCAGTCTACCAGCTTCCAGGCTATTCCTTCCAATCGGTAAGTTCTCATCAAGCCGAGAATGACGACGACTGTACCTAACATTTCCAGGGACGAACTGTGATCATGACGTGTATTCCGATCCTGTTCATTTCACCCATCGTCACTTTGTGGGTGCATCACGATTCGGTCATCTATCTCTGCTTCCTTTTCATGTTCCTAGGCTCGTTACTGGTTGGCGCGCGGCGCATCATGGGTGAATGGAACAGCTGGTATCTTAACATCCCCACAGTGACCGACACCCAAATCGTCGAATGGTACTTGCAAAAATGCGTCCCCCCCAGCGAGAGTCAGAACGAGAAGGTCAAAGACTTCGGATCGGATGCACGCCAGGCCTTATATGCTCGCGTCAAGAAAGAGCGACACCGCCACTTCTGGACCCGGAAGACAACCGATCCGTTTGTCGCAAAGCTCGCTGGCGGTTACTCAGCGACCGTCTTTCTTCTCGGCTGGTACTGCCGCTACTCTCGGACGAAAATGCCCCTGCCCTACAGCCCAACATGGAACTTGCAATTGAGAGCTGCAGTCGACACTATGGGTGAGATGCAGAAAGGTCTCAAGCTCCATAGCGCCTTTCTACACTGGCGTCATACGGGTGCAGACGTCTGGTGTGGTATCCTGTACTTTGTGGTTGCCCTTTCCGACAAGTGGAGTGCTCTCTTGACGGGCGAATCCATCGTGGGATTGTCCGCAGCAAACAGCGCTACATATCGACTCACTGTTGGTTTTGCGCTCGGCTACTACTTGCTAGGTGCAGTCATTCTTGACGCGGTCTCTCAGCCTCTCTGGATATCGGTCACCAAGCGCACGCCCCAGCCCGTCTCTTCGCTCGCTGGTCTACGTGAGGTGTCCCTCACTGATGCTAACGCACGTCGGAGGTTGTATTGGAAGAACCTGATGAAGTTTTTCTTCCT